AACAAAGGACCCGCATGGTGTGGTGGTGAACGCGTTACTCCCCGGAAAGGATAATAGCGCGTTCGTTCCCCACCATAGACACCTGCGGTCCAGAGTTTTGCAAATATCTCAGCAACGTTGTGGTTGGATCCCATCTTAGTTCATCAGGGCTGACAGCGGAACATTATAATCACACAAGTCCCGACGACATTTTATCAGACCGCTTATTTTCTCTGCTGCTTCCAGTATTTTCTTCTGCTTTTACCGTTGTAGATCTTCCTGCAAAGCTCTTCGACAGCTGGCATTTATTACTAGCTATGTTAAACGTGTTGCAGTAGGATCAAACTTCAGTTTCCTTCTCTTTTCGAGCAACTCCTTAGTAGCGATGGAGATGCGATCCGATCTTCTTGCTTGAGGAACTGAAGCTAACTCGGCACAACTTTTCAGTCCTTCGACAAGCGGCTCGCAGTCTTCGGTCAGGTTTTCTTTAATCTGACAGTTACGTTTGGACAGGACTTCGTTCAGAATGTTCTCGTTGAATACAGCTAGACTTTTTCCTCGTGGTCGATGGAGAGAGTTCTTTTCGAGTTGCGGCTGAATCGAATCTTCGTGCGAAGAAGGTGGTGATCGCAACCAGTACAGAATGACAGAACTACCGACGTGTCAAGTAGGTACCATCTTCTCTTCTTCATCTTCAGAATATGGTCGGTCTCTGCATGAGTCATGCCGTTGGGAGACTCCCATGTCCAGCAGCGGCTTTCCTTCTTGTGAAAAAACGAGTTCTCATAGAAGAGACGTGCTGCTGAAAGGAGTTTCGCGAGACGGCTTCCATTCTCATTTCTATCTCCTAATACAAAAATTCCGACCCTCTATTCGCTCTCGTTGGCATTTTCTATTCTACCGTTGAAGTCTACAACAACAAATTTATGATATGCTTTATCATTGCGAATGACTTCCTCCAACTGATAGTAGAACGCATCTAATTCGTACTCATCAGCTACGTAAGCCGGTAAATAGCAGTTGATGATAGTGATCTTCTTATGATGCGACAGTTGAAGACAGAGGACGGCTATGCGAGGGGAAAGGATCAAGTATAAGCCGATGAAATGGACAATGTACGAGTGGGCGACAAGGCCTACGCCACCGACATTTCGTGACGGGTCCTTTCTTCCACGGATCACAAGGGTCTCGTTGTTTAGTTAGCTTATGTCGGTCTTTTTGATTTTCGTTTCTTGTAATGCGATCACATGAAATTTAATGCGATCTACGGCTACAACAAGGACGTGAAGATCGGCGTCTGTGGAGAGTGTTCTGGCACCATGCGTGCATAAGAAGAAACAATCTCCATGTCTCGTCGTGCGTGTGCTCGTCAGATCTGGCTCCAGTGACGTCCTGCGTAACCCGAGATTTTCTGGCCTCTCACCGGTCGTCTCACCGCTTGACGACATAGACGAGAGCACCCATTGTGCGAGGTGCTGAGGCTGGCCTATTGCTGGTCGTGCGACTTGATCCCCCTTGGAGTCCTGACGCAATCTTGCAAGGGCGTATCCAGGTCCTCACCACGATGTGGATCAGAGGGAGGTGTGTTTTCGGCGACGAATCCTTCGCTCGGTTTTCCTACTAGTTCCCTCTGCATTCGGAGAGATGTTAAAACCGAAATCGGAAACAAAAGTAGGAATGTAGAAGTAGGCGACCGCTCAAGGACGATGTAGAAGCCGAAAAATCCGAAATTGGCGTGACAGTCACTAAAATAGCTTTAAGTGAAAAATTTCAATGTTTACTAAACAATTCGCAAAAACCTGCTTCAATTAAACAAAGCAACAGCGTTTACGAAAATACTGGGAGTTAAACTGTGGTCGACCTGACCGAGGCACATTCGTCGCCTATGTACTACTGTGTGAGCCTTCTCTCCACCAATTTACTGGAAAGCCTACAAGGAATAAAATAGTGAGTGTTTATAACAGCGATTCCAAATCTACCTGTCAACTTTTGTATATGAAACTACTGCAGGTTAGATACTCATTTAAACGACTAATTTCGTCCGGGTATTAACAGTTTTTTCATTTGTTTCACAATGCGGTGTCCATCCCTTTTCCTTTTTTTTCTCAGCAAGCTGAGCGTCGATGGACTTTTCTCTTCGTTGATATACTGGATGCCGCTCGAACACAGCATTCCTTGTATACCAACGAATTGATAGCCTCATGTTCTTACAACAGTGGGTTTCCAGCGTTTCTGGGCTGAATGTAAGTTCACTGCCTTGCGATCTGAATACTTCAAAGACGACGACTGCCACGTTGTAAATAAACTATTAGAGAGGCTTCCTTACCGCAGACACCTACAGTCCGGAGTTTTGCAAATATCTTAGCATTATTATGGTTGTATTAGAGAGAGTATTCCGCGGTAATACTCGCGCGTGTAGTGCAGTGATTAGAGGCGCTTCCTGCAATAATCGCAGGTTTGATGGTAGCCCCAGGTTCACCAAGCATTCCATGGTCGGCAAATTGGCGCCAGACCTGTCTGGGGAAATATTAGCAAAGGCTCTATGCATCAGTAAGCCATGGCACGCCTTCGTATAGGCCATAGGTGCATTCAATCACCGCTAACGACGCTTAATGAAGTTGAATTTATGGCACATCCCTTAAGGATTGATCAACGCCGAGAGTTTTATGTTTTACCCTCTATTATTTGCCAAATGGTTAACGAAGCAAAAAAAGTTTCAGGAGAGCATAGGAGTAATAAGACCAGTTTATTGCAAAACAATTTGCAAAGGGTGTGCGTAGCTAGTGGTTAGAGGTGCAACACATTAAAAACATAGTCGTCTGTCTGACTCCGCTCCCTAAGCCAAGGTAAGGTTCAGGTCGACAAAATATTACCGGACTCGTCTGGTAGAATGGACTTAATGATCTAATACATTGTTAGACCACCACAAGCCATTTTTTGTGGCAAATATGTTTCTCATCTTTTTCGGAAAGATCTCCTAACACCTATCCGATCGAAAGAGTGATATCGTTCGATTGCTTAGTCGGCAAACCAGGATGTAGTTGCTTCACACTTTTTCTATTGCAACCCGCAGCAAATCAAATACTCATCCAAATATTCAGTGAAAAAAAATCTTGGGAGCACAATGAAATGGTGAGCAGAAATGAGAGAGTCCTAAAAGCTAGCTTATTATTTAATTTGTAATATCACTCTCAAGCACTCTGTATACTAGTCGCAGGAATCTGCTGAGGTCCAGCACGATACCACGTCTGAATTTAAAAAAGCGATAACCGGTTCACAAGGCTTGATCACCTGCGGTGTAGACCTAGAAGGGGAGCCAGAACGGTTGTCTTCGGAGTTCGGCAAAAAATACACTAACCTTGCATTTGATATTTCAACAAGAAGAAAAGACGGCAGTCGTCAAGCAGTAAAGAAAGGTACACGTAAATAGGGCGATTTTTATGGATGACAACTCAAAAGCAGCAAAACAAATGGAGGAAGGACTGAGACACAACACGTGAAGATAAGTCGTCTAAACATTCAACACCGTCGATGATTGATGAGAATGTTTGCGATTTAGTTTTTCATCCTTCCGTTTGTGTTATTGAAGCGTTTGTAGTAGGAAATTACATACCAATAAACCCCTCCAGACTCTGAAGAAGGCGATACTCAGCTCGAAACGTCAGCTATAACGAAACAAAGAATAGAGTAACATTTCGTGTTTGCTCGAAAAGAATATTGAGAACTATTTAGCATAGTGTTTCAAAGAAAAAAATTGAGAAAAAATTTCGAGAGCTTTGATGAGAACGGATTGTGAGCACTTCAGTCTTTAAAACGAAATTCCGAGTGAGAGGACTTAGACATGAGGTCTTCAAGAGCAGTGTCTTAACGATCCTCCTTTCCTTAACTGAAAATACAAAAGTGCAGTAAAACCATACACTCGAAAAACTTTTATGTCAGATTGTAAAAATGGGCAAAAGATTATTTTACAGGATGTAAGTGAAAATCAGTAGAAGGATAAGACGGTGGCTGAGATGGTCGTCGACACTCCAACCAACATTTCCATAAAAGTAGGCTTGAGAATGCTAATGAGCTTATGAATCTAAATATAGAAGTGAAAAGAACAATAGAAATGAGAAAAAAAGAATGATTTGCTTCAGATGAAAGGCCAGCTAAAAAGCAACAACTCGAAAATCAGCACATAGAATTGTGAGGGGAAAAGCATAGAAACAACGTTAAATTCCTAAGCGCTAGCCATGAAGCTGGGTTGAATGAGATTAACATTCATAGTAGAACCCGGAATAAGTCATCATGATTTAAGCAAAACGAAAAGCTCATCAGAAATCACATTTTTCACGATTTCTTCACTAGAAGAGAAATGGCCTGCAATATAAAGGCAACAGTTACTGTAATCTCATTGAAAACACCGTTGTGTAGGTCAGTTATCTGTCCACATTGCCTACAACTTAACAGTACTCCAGTTACGGTAGGTATTTTTTTTCCAATAACGAAGCACTTTTCTACCATTCCAAAACATTTTTAGAGTAGTGGATTTGTCATTCGTGTTCTTTTAAGAAAAATCATTTCTGTGAATAAACGAGAATGGTTAGTGTTTTCGTCGGATTACGGTAAATATTCCTTAATCTATCTATCTATCTGTCTATCTATGATATCCAAAAAGTAAATTGTGACGGAAAAATTGGGACATGAAATTTACGTGTAGAAGTCAGGAAACACGTATGAGTGATGTCTTCACCGTAAAGCCGGTGAAAATGACTAGAGCAACACAGACCAACACTTATAAAGCCTTAGTGGCTAGAATCGCGTAACGCTGAGAACAAATTCAGAATCGTCTTTGAAACGAGGAGGTCTGACATTTTCTTTGAAGATTGTCAGATCCGATAGCGATCGGGGTATGCGTAAACCACTATGAGCAGAATCGAATGATGATTGACTCCTGAAACGAAGGCCAATCAAACATTAAGTGGAATTCTCCTTAAGACGCGAACGTACCGTAAAGAGCTTAGGTAGCTCGTCCGCGATTGGAAAGCACTCGATGGTGTTTTCTCATCACTCGTTGACGGGTCTGGTGTTAAAATATTCTTTATGCGTCTTACCTAAAGGTTTCTATACAGTGTAGTCTTATGTGATTCTGTTTCTTCATTGTTTTTAAATCATAATCAGATTTTCAAACCCTACTTGCAGCCTGTGATTCTGCAAATCATGCCCAACGAACAAATCTCGCTGGTTACATTTGCTTAGAGAGACGAATTCATCCAGTCGGGAGTCTAAGAACGTCGACAAACTGTATATACGGTAGTGCTGCAGCAATACCAAACAGAGACCGACAATAGCAGCTAGTAGCCCTGTAACAACAACATCCAATACCTATTATAATCGTGTTCTAAGATTGTAATTCCTTACATGCTTATGTTTCAAGATGTTACCAGCAGCATTTCACTGACAAGTAACATTAATATTATAATTTGATATTTGAGCGCAGTGGTGGAGGTGCCGTCCAATACGCGCAAGACGCTTCGAATCAGTGCCAGACAGACCTATCCCCCCGAGTCATAGAACTGGTATCAGACTTGTTTGAGAAGGGTTGTGAAGTTCACAAGAATTAGGAATGCTCGACCACAACTATTCCAGCATTGGATTCCGGATAGGGAGAATCGACTCGCGTATAACTTCAACGACATTTACGGAGAAAACCAAAAATCCTTAAGCAGCCACCGGACGCATAAGCGCACAGAATATATGAGGACTGGTCACGTAAAAAAAACCATGAGATATGAAACGTGTTGAAAACAAACAATGGACGCTCGCTGTATTAAGACACAACTGATATTTTTGTATTCAAATGTTTGTTTTCCATTCTACATGACCCGCTATTGCATTTACTGCACAGATCCCAGCACTTCTTGTTTTCGATTCTTTTTCTTCATATTCATCGTCCACAAATGTCTTCGAACATTTTATATATTGTTTCGGCTGCTGCTTAAGGATTTCGTCCTCTTCATGGATGTCGTAGAATGCTGGTTGAGTTGATCTTAATCATGGAGATAGCCGAGCTATGGCGTCGCCACATGGATTGGAGAAGGGCACTGAAGAGTAACTGGAGCTGGGACTTTGCTTCTTGAAGGACTGAATCACTAGTGACCACTCTAGTCTCATCCCTGAAAGAATCGGAGTTGCCAGAGGTAACAAAACCCATTTTGATCTATGTGGGCTACCGATTGGCCATGGTGAAGACATTGGAACAGCCTAACATGGTCATATCGGTACTCAGGCAAAAACGATGTTTCATCAACATTCAATATATGAAAGATTTTGCAATCTTAAAACACTCAAACTCACTTCCGTGCCCGAATGTCTTCAATGATGCTGTTTGAAGCACAGCAAAACGAATAGAAGTGATGGATGCCAAAGAAGTGTTAAAAAGGTTCATTTAATTCCCTAAGTATTCCGTACTATGATCAACTTCCACGAACAAAGTTTTTGGTCAGCCACGCCGCCGCATGAGAAGGACAGTTGCTAAAGGTGATGGATTTTTGTGAAAGAGCAGGTTCACAAACATTACGTAACCGGTTTCGATGAGTATTAGGTTGTTCAGAAAAAAATGAGCGTTTTAAAATAATTGTTGTTCAATGTATTTTCTTCACCAATAAGATGACTTTGTACCTTTCAACTTTACATATTATTAGAAAGACAATTTTATGCTTTCTCTAAACATTTCTCTATATTTTGTCAAGAATTAAATTTTTTCCCGCCATTGTTCAGCTTTGCAGTTTTAGATGACAAAAACGAATTTCGTCAAATTTTTTTTATGAGTTCAAACTCGGTCGAAGTGCAGCAGAGACGGCTTAAACACCTTAGTGACGTGAAAGCAGTGTCGGCGAATCAACAGTGCGAACACGGTTCCGATTGATCTGGTGAATTCGACCTCGTAGACAAGGAACGCCGCGGACGTTCTAGTGAACTTAACGGCGACGAATTGAAGGCACTAGTGGAAGCGAACACGCGAACAACTGTTCGAGAGCTTGCAGAACAACTTAGCGTAACCACAGGAACAATTTCCACACAGTTTGATCGCATGGGAAGGACAAAAAACTCGACAAGTGGGTGCCGCACGGATTAAACGATAATCAAAAAAATTGCCGTTTTGAAGCGTCATCTGCTCTTATTCTGCGCAACATAAACGATTCTTTTCCTCATCGAATTGTGATGTGCAACAAGAAGTGAATTACTCTCTGTGAAAGGAGTTTTTAGCAATTTCTTGAAAAATTGCTAAAACGCGTATTGCTGCGATTGGAGTCAGTTCAAAAGAAATTTTTTGGCAAAGTGATGCAGGCAGATTCCTTAGGAGCACTATGTATCTGCTCTGAATTGAATTTGCTACCAGATTTACCATATTTTTCACATCGTTATAGATGATGTTAAAACAGTTATAATTATTAATAAAAAATGTGGTGGGTAAAGCAGTTGTTGTAAAGCCGTTCAGCACAAGGTGTTGGTTCGACCCCGCCTAAGAGCAATCAAACCTCTCACTTCTCTAGAGACGCAAACTTGGTACCACACTTGTCAAGAATCATATCTCTCCAATCTATATGAAAACGCCTTATCACGGTAAACCTAGGCTTCCAGTGAGAATCAACCCGGCAGGCATTCAATAACATTCGCTAGGATGAGAAAAAAAATCTTCGAGCAGCTGCCGAGCCACGCGGAAAATTTCGAAGGCTTTTGTGGTCGGTGAATACGAATAAGCAAAGTGAATTCAAGAAGCAGTGGTTCCCACAGAGTGTGATATATGAGGTGTCGGTTTACACAAAAAAATTTGAAAGAAAAATAACGTACCGACAGCGAACACGCAATAGAACACCCACTGGAAACTCATTTCCATGAGAACTCGATCTCCTCGCGTGCCAACGAATCCGATCTCTAGATGACAAGGAGACATAGTTCGGTACAACAAACAAGAGAAGAGCGCCGCCAATCCAGTGGCAAGCATACTCTGAAAAGCAGCTGATCCTTATAGGGCCTCATGGTGAACCCTCAAGCCCAGGTCGTATAACTATATCGCACATCGACAATATGCCCAATGCAAGAAGCTCACCCACCATTCCAAACTGGTGTGGAATGAAGAGAAGACACACAACGGCGAAAAGCCAGCAGGCTAGTGAGAAGCTGTAAGGACAAGTCATTATTTTCGAGGCTATTTGTTATGTAACTCTTCATATGGAATCTTGCTGAAATTCCCGAGAAATTTATTCAAATCGAATGTGACTTTTTTGCTATCCTCAAATCCTCTACGTAAAGCTGCGCAGAAGTCCTCTCTAATCTAATGATGTGCACCTCATTGGAAGAGGTAGCAGCGTTGAAGTGTTGCAGATAGAAACTTCAACGCTGTTAGCCTTCACTAATTACATAAAAAGATTACAAGGCATATAAAGAACCTTTGATTTCATTTGTCTTTTATAAATAATTTTTGTAAAAAAAAATCAACACTGTATGAGAAACTTCATGAATTTACACGAGTTCTCTTGTTAGGAATGAATTTAGAGCGATTAGGACGATTAGGATGAATAAGAATTATTGACGGTTAAACATCATAACATAATCTTTAGAGAATGGACTTCTCGATAGCTAGAGTTTCTAAGAAACTAATCTCTAGAGACTTTGCAGACTTCTGGGGAAGATACTACCCTCTTTCCTTAACGTTGCCCATGTCTTTTTATTTCAAAATTTACGCGATACTTGGCAGCACCGAAAATACTTTCTGGGAGACCATTGCGTCTTGCTGGACTAAACCGGACTTACTCATCCGGTTCCGCCTTGCAGACAAAAAAAAGCAATGGTTTATGCTACAAAGAAAAGCTAGGTTTTCATCATGCTAGAAGAGCAAATTTGAATGAGGATGGCCCACTGAATCGGTCTCTGGTTCGCTGCTACACACCGGTCATAGCAAACTCGTCGTTCTCCGGTTGTAGGTAGGTACGGGAAATTGGTATCAGACGTGTGTCGGAGGGCCAAAACACTGACTTGATATATCGATTCGCCTATGTAAGTCGTCATAACCTCTACGATGCTGAATGCAGTAGAATGCACGAAGTACCCTTCAAGGATTGATCAACCGCAAACGCTCTATCTTCTGCCACGACCGACTTTCTATTAACCTCGGCATTGATCAAGTAAATGAACCTCAGGGAAGAATGCCTCATTATCACGCGTGATATAGGGCAGTATATAAAACTTTTCTGATGTGAGGGGCACATTATACTTCCACGTGATTTCTGTGCGGTTGGTCTCTACGTGACATACTTAGTGGAAACCTCATAGGAAGCGGTGAGTGTGCAAAGCTGTGTTCAAAGTGATTGAAATCTTGGTTTAGGGTTTTTTTGTTTGGTTATGGAGGCGTCTGGCCGAGTAGATTGCTATCAACTTGACCTTTCCAGGCTCTGAGGAAGGCGAAATCCGCCGAAACGTCAGCTTAATCGTGAACAAAGAATAATAACACCTCGCGTTTGCTCAACAAAAATACGAAAAAAATCGCTCTATCTTCTATTCCTCACTATAAGCAGAGATAAGGTTGTATAAACCTTAAGAAGCAAGTCATTTTCGTTAACACACGCATTGAAGGCAATGCACACCGTCGTGAATGTATTGTAATCTCAGAAGATTACAGCGTCTCTGTTCTAGCAAACCTCCTGTACCAAATAGGCTAGAAAAAGAAAACCGCTATGATTCCTCGAAAATATTCGAGATCAGAGTGCTTCGTCGCAATTTGCACATCCTGCCTCTTAAAGGTGTTAATCGTTGCTTACTGTAGGAGTGGAATGTGCAAATAACAAGAAGAATGAAGTGGACGGAAAGCACTATTACATCGTCGTCATCTTTTAACAACAGCAAATGACTAATTTAAGTAATATTTTTTAGAAACATTTGTTCAACGTCTGTGTAGAACGGAAAATTGCATTAATTGGCTCAACTGCAGGGACAGTGATTGCATGAGCGCTGATTTGATTTATCTCATCACTCGTAAGCGGTACGGGGACGAATATATCAGTCAACCGGCTAAATAACTATGTGTCCGTATAAGAGAACATCTAGTCGATAAGCTTAGAGCTAAGCAAAATAATCCGTTAGGCATTCATAGGACAAATACACATAACGGGAAAAATTTTGAAGTGGAATCATAATCTTCGCACAGGAATCTCGAATTTCGGCGCCTTTAACCAGTTTTGGTTCTAATTTTATAAGAGGATTTTAAGCATTTGCAGAACTACCTGATATCATAGCATCACACACCAAGAGAATTATATGAGTGTAAAAATGCCATGGTATAGGGAGCCGGTGGAATAGTGGTAGCGATGTCAATCATTACGAAGATCTAATCTTGCTGGAGTTGAGAGTTTGGTACCGGACTTGTCTGGGAAGTGACCACGCTCTGCAATCCAAGTGGGAACGCTCTAGAGCGGAGATGAAAAAACTTGAGGGAGAATCGACTCGACCTAGAATTCAACGGCATTCATGTTGAGAGGAAAATCCTTAACCAAGAGCCGAAGTCAAATACAAAATGCTGGAAGACTTTCGTAAATGATGAATGCGAGGAATCAAACCGAATGCGAGAAGTGCTGAGGTTGGTATAGTAGACGTGAAACACGGGTCGTGAAAAAAAGTAATAAAGTGGGAATGAGTGCGTAATTTAGAGAACAAAAAGCAGCAACTCTAAGAATTTAACAATTTCAAGATGCGACGAACCTTACAGCAGCAGATGTATAGTGTCCAGCAGTACGGTAGTGTCGTCCCCAGTCGAAAGCGTCTTGATTGAGGGAAAAGTACTCCATGATGCTAAGAATAGGATACGGCAGGCCACGTAGGTACGCTGAGCGCAGCTCACTGGCCATCGAGGATACTAAGGTAAGAACAGTTAGAATTGTAATCTGGGTCGAAGAACTGAAAAATTCATCAGGAGATCGAATTTTCCGATTTCGACGATTCTCACGTCTACCTGGTTCCCAAGTTCAACGTACGAGCCTATGCTCGGTGTTTATTTAAAATAAAATTACTTTTCATTCATAATAAGTATTATTTTATCACGGTGTAGTAAGTTTACGTTAAAAAAATAAAAGCTATTCGTTTAAGCTACTTCCTTCTGCGTACTTATTAATTTCCACACCGATATGGGAACATGAGAGGATAACGGTCCACTGTGGGTACACTAAACGGTTAGGGTACTATTTCACTGTAGGAAAATCATTCTTTATAACACAATTACAGGATATTCCTACTCCATCAGTTAATTTTACTCAAATCACAATGGAACGGCATCACCTCCAGAAATGTCAAAGTTTTCGTTGTAGTAGAGTTGACTCATGTCGATTCGTGATCGAGACCGATCCATTTCAACCATCTCTTCAACTACAAAAAACAAACATTAATTCTCTCTTCAGCTTTGCTCATCACCCTCCCAATAAGAGAGCTTCGGCGTCGAGTGATATTGAACTTGAAGACTTACATCGAAGAGTGATGTTGATGTTGGTGAGTCCGACGTGTACTCCTACCCGAGCTCGCATTTTTTCGTTCACGTGCGACCTTTAGATATACGGTTTGCCTTTTACTAATCTTAATCTTTACAGCTGTAAGTTAAATATAACCGACTTTTTTCACATCAACCTAAATAACTTGCTAATTATTCTGCATTGTCCAGTAGTGGAGAACACCAAGGTTTTACCTTCTTCGACTGTTAAGATAACAAGAATATACATGTTTACTCGGCCAAAGTTTCGACGTCTTCTTCTTCATGAGACCCGATGATCCTAGTCGATGTCCACAGTTCCTCGTACTCTCGATATAGTGTCGTCGTCGTCGCATCGAGACGGATCTTCTTTAGTGGAACACTACTAAAACGAGCAATCCCACTTCTTATTCTCAGTTGAGCGATGCTCTACTGAAAAAGATCCGACTCGGTACGACGACAAAAACACTGCAGCGGTAGTGCGAAGAACTGTGGACATCGACTCGGATCGGCTCTGAGGAAGAAGAAAACGTCGAAACGTCAGCCGAATAAAACTGTAGATCAACCTCGTCTTAACTCAATAACCAAAAAAGGCATTCATTGCTTTTTTAAGCCTAACAAAATACCGACTGCTGCAGAGTCGATTGTCGGTTGAAAAACAAATTATCGTCAGCTGATAATCATATTAACAGCAACCGTCCTGTATAAAAGAGCAAAAGAAAGGAACGAATGGCAAATGTGCTGAGATTCACACAATCGGTGAAGACGCACCGTCCAAGTATCCAAGTAAGTGTAAAAGAGCGTCGCCAGGTGTGCTCGGCTCATTCGAGACACTCAAGTGAGGAAGATCCAGTTCAATACGAGACGAAGACGCCATATCGAAAATAGGAACAACTGTGGACCATCGACAAGGATCGGCTCTGATGAAGACGAATACGTCGAAACGTTAGACTAATAAACATGCATATCAACCTCGTGTTAACTTCACAATCGAAGAAAGTATTTATTATTGGGGCAGAGGGTGAATTACGGTCAGTTTGAAAAATCCTAAGGTTTCATCCAGATTTTCTAGTGAAACTCACTGTCGTATAAACACCGTAGGTATTGTGGCATTGTAACGAACAATTTAAAAAAGTTATACTGAATACAGCTGAAATTGTTGGAGAAAATGCACACTTCTCATAAAACGTACAAGGTAAACATGAAATTCTTATAAACGCGCTACACGATTTCCCATTCATAAGTGAATGAGGCACGTCTCGTACAGTGGTTAGAGGTGCCTTGCGGTGCACACATGGAGTTGTGTTCAGCTCCACTCCTTACGTTAACCAACCTCCACACCACCTGTGTTCAGTAAATTGACAGCTGACTCATCTGCACTGATAAAAACACTGAATTAATACAGCAGTAGATCTTCGTAGGTCATTTTATGGTCCAAATGTGCATTCAGTCACCTCTTTGAGTGGAGCCGAACACATGACGCATTTCTACGGGATCGATTAATGTCGAACACTTTATCCTTCATGCTTCCAAAACTGCATTTCCCTACATTCTTCTCGTTCTTTATGGACATCGTTTGAACCCATAAAAGGCTACTACCCTGCAATCAGCTTCTACCATAGTATTTCACTTTTGTTTCCATTTCGGACTCGGCATTCTGGTGTTATTCACAGTAATAGCCTCTGTACACAGGGTATTTTTTCAATAACTTTCGTAACTTCTTGAAATCAAACTTTGTAGACGGTGGGAAATCTGTTGCTGAAATGTTGGATTCTATTCAATACTCCTGTTCTCTTGAACAATTACGAAACACTATTTTTCAATGTTTGAATTGAGCTCCTAATAATAGTGTGGTAAATACGGCGCATCAGTCGTCGCGTGCATTGATAGCAATGTATATGTGAAGGGCAGAGTAGACTGTAGGTATTAAGCCCACTACAGATTCCTTCCCCCTGTTTGTTTTATTGCGAAAAGTTAATTTGCTACGTTTCTTAATCGATAGCTTAGCTAATACATATATGCGAGACGTGAATGGTGAAAATCCACTACGCAAATTTCATAACTCTCAAAAAAATCTTCACACGATATTTCCAAAGAGCACATCTTGGTGGAGTTGGAGGCAACTAGATGTAACTCCAAGTGGCTTAGATTACAAAGATTTTGGTGTAAGGATGTGTTAGGAGTAAAAAGCGGGTGAACTCTACCTGAACTGAGCGACGATTCTCGCCGAGCCACCTGTCCAACCGGGAAAGTTCAGCGAGACTGAATGTCATGAATTTGTGATGTTCGGCCGAGTTTTGCTGAGAGATTGACTTACTGGCCAGAACTGCTCCTACTAATGCAACTTCCGTAAAAACAGCAAGTGTTACTAGACGTTTTTCTCGTACTCCGGGAAGAATAACGAGGAACGCTAGATACGGGACAGCAAAAATACTCGAGATCTGAAAAAATCGTTCGATTTTCGTTAACTATTAAGAAAGATAAATGTGATTATTTTATTTATATTTAGCTATGGATTTTCTTGAAAAAATAGTAGGATTGCTCAAAAAATACTGGAATGTTCCTTATAACGTTAAGCTTCGACTCTACCAAAGTGAAAATAAATAATAGTGCCATAATGTAGAGAAACAAAACTGTAGAACAGTACACATTCGGTAGGCCAATCACGCTCCGAAAGCGAAACTTTCGGGACAGTCAGCACGTTTCCGGTTCTGTTGTATCCACACAGAAGTCGTGAGAAGTCCGGGAATTTGAACATCATAAAATCCTTCGATTTGGATGAATTAAATGCAGATGTGAGAATGACTGGTTATTCTAACTGGAGAAATCCCGAGGAAACATTCGTTTTTTCTTAGGGAGAAAGATTAAACCCACAATTAGTGCAGGTAGATTGATGTCCGGCATCTCGGCATTGGAGTAATCGGACGGTTCGGCAAATCCACCAAACCAGCTTATCCACATTCTTATCTGAAAGGTATGCCTTAGATTGGTGCGTGACGGAAAAGGCTGTGTCATACTGTTGAAGACATTTAATTTCTATTTGAAACAGTCTCGAACATTCAATAACGAACGGAATTCGAGATGTTTAGAAATGAATCGGGAAGGAATTCTCTTTTGATGGAAGCCAGAAGATGAATAAACAGAACACTATTGAATCATACTTTTATTGCGAAAGGGAGCGCTTTTTAGAAGACGCAGAAAAGCATCGGAATACGACTGAAACGAGGAAAAAAGACATGATTGTAATGAAGATGACATCACTATTGAAGGCAAATAGTGTTTCTGTTATGAGAAAGACGTTTACTCAACTTATTTTACTTGCGTGAGAAAGATTAGCGGAGCAGAAATTACGACAACAAGAGAGGGTATGTTGCATACAATGCCGCGGAAACCACGTAATAGACGACAATGACGGGAAAGGAAACTGTGGTCAGCGTTGGAGCCCAGGAAGTGGTAGTGGCATCTACCTCAAGTACTTAGCAGGCTGCCGTCGAGCAAACTATGGCTTTGCTAACATAGAATCTTAGAGATTGAATAAATCGGCATTAGTTTTTAATGAAAAATGTGAAAAATATGAAAAATATGTAAAAGTGGAAGAAAAAACTGTGGTGGGATTCCATTCAGTGGTCAAAGAGTGCGACTCGAGTTTGGCGTTTTTCTTGTCATCGATTTGGAGAGAATATCCTAGCTCTGAGTCGACTAAACATCTCTATACCCTTAGAGTTAGTCAAATAAAAAGGTCTAACAGTTGCTCACTTTTTTCGATTAGATTTCAAATAAACTTAAACCTCAAAGCAATGGAATTATTGCATTAACTTCATTCATATCAACTTGGCTACCAAGAGTCACTGATGAAGCCTACGACAGTTTAAAGTGCTAAAAACAACTAAAAAGGAACTAAGTGTCAAACGGGGTTCTGCTAGATACCTGGACGATAGATGTACAGCTAGAATTCCTTCTCTATCAAAAGGAAGTAGAGGAACGCGTGCTAAGAGTGAGGCTATCGTGATCACGCTTGGTAGCTCAATTGATAGTATGAAATAAGAACAACTCACATAAGACACAATTTGAAAAATGGCCAGAAAAAAAACTAAGGCAAAAATTCCATTCTATTGGCAAATGTGAAGAAATCTGGGAAAAAAGTGCCAAGAGAGATGACAGGAAGTATTCAGTGCTACGTGAAATTATGAGCAGATAATGCAGTCAGGATTTTTGTACAACAAACAATATAAACAATAGATTCCAAAAAAATATTGCTGCTATTTAAACTAAGATCGAAAACAATTGATGTCTTTAAGTAATCACATAGATAAAGAGTTGGTGTAAGAGAAAGCTTTGGCGATGAGTGGTGAGATTCCAAAGGTCTGATTATTGGAATGCGTGACGACACGAAGTTCATAAATAAGTTTGATCTAGATAAGCATGGTCCCAAGGACAGTGTGCTTCTTTCGCGTATTACACGATGTTGAAAGAATGCGATGTGGGTAGTCGCCTGGGGCAAGAATTCGCCTCAGGAAATCCTAGTCGTTTGCCTATAATCACAGAGTGGAGCTCGTTCATAGGTGAGAGGAGAGGGCCTCGTTCGGGAGGCAAACACATCGCTGGCCTAGTGGAACTGATGTCTCTCAAGGTAAATCACATAGACAGCTCAATCAGAAACAAGAAAACATAAAGCCACATGGTGCTCAATGAACGATGAACATTGCAGAAAAGTCAGAATGCATAACCTCAAAGCACAATTTTCTTTTGCGTCCTTATTTTTCTTCAACAAAAAAAAGCTAGTGTGCCTTTAAAGGTCAGTATAGAGATAAAGATTTAAAATTGTGTAATGCTTAGTCATATGCTTTTAAAACGTTTTAATATTTTAATAAGGTTTTAAAAACTAAAGTCTGCAATCGAACGATAAGAAATTCATCGACGAAAACTCGAGCGGAACGCTATGATAAAGAAGGAACTGTAATCTCTCGCTACAGTTCATTACACGAAGACTGAGGGAACAGAAGCGCCGATTCATTGCCAGCATTTCTACTTTCCAAAATGATGTCAGTTAGATCCAGATTGTAAAAATGAGTAGTAGGTTGGTCTAACTTCACATCATTTCTCTTAGATTTCTTGTTTATTTTGCGCATTCTGCAGGGTAAAAGGTGGCTTGCGATATCTACCTAAAGTTCGTAGTTCTTGGAAGGCTAGGTGACAGAATGCTTGCTGACAACAGCAATTCTTCTAAATAAATCGAGATACTAGGAAAAAAAGACTAAGACAGTTGACCCATATGGAACCATAGCTTGCTTACCAAGAGACTGCTTAACTTACAGCGAACTTTATTTCCCATGCCAGTTTCAACTTAATCATGAGGTGAGTTAATGCACCATAAAGTAACAGCGGTCGCTTCTCGTACAAAGATTGTATGGAAACTTCTGAACAAGGATGTAGGAAGAAAAGCAGCGATTAAACTACTCAAGCAGCTGTAACGACTTTTCCGTGATTCTGGAAACGTTTTACGCAAATGCTGGGAAGGTTGATCGCTTTCTTATAAAATCACCGGCGATCATCGTTTGAGGAGAATGTAATGGCTGATAGAAATAAAAGCGATCACCCGCTAAATGTTTGTCGTGCAAAGGATGGATGTCTGAAGAAATGGAAATGTTAGCTTTTCATAGTACGTGCAACCCTCCTATAATGTCATGATTACTCAGAATAATATAAAAACAGCTCTCTACGTCGAAGTGTACGCTACATCGAGCAATGGAACAACAATTTAAGTGCTTTTAGAAGAGAAATAACGTGCCTGTAAATAGTTGCAGTCAACTTTATGAGTGTATGCTAAGAATTCTTCTGAAGAATAAAGCAATGAAAGAGAATTATAAGTAGAAATACCACGAAGACGTTGCAAGAAAGGTTGTGCAACCAGCTTTGAGACTACGAGAGAATCGACAACTTAATTTCGTCCGTTATCCATACTCCAGTGCACAGCTCGGACCGTATGGTAACACTACACAGCATGAAGGGGATCGAACCAATATGACAGAATCATTTAGGGTTAAGGTCTTCCTAGTTTGGACACAGGATGGCTGGCTATTGGTTGACACACTGATCACTGGTATGGCGGACTACTGGTCTAGAAAGAAACACGAAATTGCCCATGTCACCATTCATCATCATTGTGTTGCTTTCACCAGACTATGAGGAGTCATACCGGCTATGATGCCTGAAACTAATTCTTTGCGGAAGGCAAGTAGAAGGTCTTAAAAAGGAATGTTGTATATGTTTTATTGCTAACAAAAAGTAGAGAATCTACTTCACCACCTAGAGAGTTAGCCAGAAAATAAAAATAAGTAGACGTATTGCAAATTTTCAGCCAATTCCTAGAATTTTGTCATTCCATGCAGTGTGGCCAGCTATGAATCGTAAGCTTACGACTGAGCGAAAAGCAATGCAGTTTTTTTAACTGTCGACCACAAACACGCTTATCCTGGATTATAATAAACTTTATCTATTAAAATAAAGGATGGGTTTATAAACGATGGGATAAACAGGTTTACCTATTCCGATAGAACAGACTGCCGATGTTCTGAAAGCCACGGATTCGTCGAAGGCATTTTCAGCGGCCTCCTTTCAGCAGCTGCCCGAGATTTCTCGGAAGTTCTTGAGATTCACGGAAAAAGTTGCAGTCTGTTTGTAACACACTTTCGAATAAAGTAGAACTTAATATCCTATCTTATCCCAGAGCTGTTCGCTATTAGAGGTGTGCTCGAACTGCCAACCACACTGAAGTTATTGACGTCCTTTCGCTTTTCGTGACCGCCCCGTTCCCTTCACTGTTATGACCTCGCTAAGATTTTGGAAACCAAACTGAATTTTGACTTATTATTTACTACTTACTCTTTTTAACGGCAGGATATATATTGCGAAACATAACTTCAATAATGCGGAGATATTTACAAAACTCCGGACCGCAGGTGTCTGCGGTGGGGAGCGAACGCGCTATTGTCCTTTCCAGGGAGTAACGCGTTCACCAGCACACCATGCGGGTCCTTCGTTTTGCCTGTCTCCCAGCTAGTTCTATCGAACTTTTGCCATCAGCAATCACCCGTCAACGGGATTGATCTGGGGAGTCCAAATCGGCATTGAACCCAGTCAAGCTGAGGCAGCAGTTATAATCACAATTTTGACTTATTATTTACTGCCTACCGTACTGGATGTTTCCACTTTTTGAGCTCGATGTCACTATAAAATTCTTTTGAAGCAATTCTCAGTAAGGATTACAGCAATTAACAGTCGTGCCACCACCTGTAGAATGTTGGCAGTTATCATACAGAAGTCGTTTATCGCCGCGCGTTACACAGTGATCGGAAAAACGAATCGTTACACAAAAGAAAAAGACCCAGAACTGACCTCACAACGATCACATCCTTGCTTTTCACTCATTTCTTTGAAAACGTGCTTATCAAATTCTTCGTAGCTTGCGGTTCACTTAAGGTACTCCGAACATGTTTCTACAGTCACGGATTGTTCTGTTCTGGCACCGCAATGTGTAGGCCCTTTTAAATTAATACCTTCAAGGTTCGTTTTCAATGGCTGCTGGTTGTCACTGACCTTCCCCAACTTCATGGTCCCATCATGATCACGAAATTTTTGAGAATAAAATTGCGTCGTATAAAAGCAACGTCCTCATTATTGGCACAAATTTAGATTTAAAAACTTGATAGGTAGAGAAGTTTGGAAAAGAACTGAAAGTACAAAACGAAATACTTTTGCCTGAAGTGATATATGTATGTTACAAAATATGTTACACGAACAAAGAATCATAGAGGAAGGGTGGTCGAAAACAAAGAACTAAAATTTGAAGAAAGATAAACTATATTTTTCAACCTCAACCAAGCTGCAATATTCGCAAAACTTGGACCCTGGGCCAATTATTTTCCAACCTGTCAAGGTTTCATCCTTATCCATCTGAGTGG